GAAGAATGTGTCATTACCCTGAACAACACATCTATGATTAATGGGCAGCTGGAAGGAAAATGTCAGGGACTTTTACTCAACAGATAAGGAGAGTCAAAGGTATAAGGCAAATTTTATTCCACTGGTGATACATTTTATAACTCATTCTTTAAGTCTCAGAGCCACCTTCTTATTATTTTAAAATAAAGACTACTACAATGAATGTCTAGCTGCTTTCTAGTTTCTGCTGACTACTGTAGGCAATTCTGAGCAAATCACTTTTTCTCTTCCATTTATTTCACAAACTCCCCAGGTGATAATCAGGAACAATGGTCCTTACAAGTATTCCAAAAGGCACATTTATCAGAAGGGTGGTCACTCCTGGAGTTTCTCAAATGGTGAAATGAATGAGTTGAAACCTTCAGTCCTTAACTCAGGTTAAAATAAGGAATTTCCCTTTTATTGGCTTCTAAATGTCCTAGCGAGTTTCTGACAGAACCACAGACAGCAAATGGAAGCAACTGCCTTCCTGGGCATGCTTCCTTGTTCGCACCAAGCTTGAGTACAGCCATGATACATTGCTTAACAGTCAGAGTGCACTAGGTCACCTCGGCAAAGGATGTGATGGTGGGGTGTGCTGGTCCCCCCCCCCGAAAGCAAGCAGGTCCCGAGCCCCCAGCATTCTGCCTGAGCACAGCCAGGTCTACCAGAGCTGCCTTTCCATTTCCTTGCCTAGCAAACAAAGTCCAGCGTGGTCCTCTGCCCCTAGGAGGCCTGGCAGCCCTCTCCTCCAGGCTCAGGGCTGTCCAGCCAGAAAGGCTTTCTTCCAGCATCCTCTGCATTTGCTACTTTCACAGCACCTCCACTCTCTCCTTTTTACAGCCATTGAAAGTAAGGTCGGAACTGTGTTCAAACAAGTGCATGAAAAGAGGCCTTTACCTGGAAAACCAGAGCTATGGTGCACACAATGGTGTTCCTGCTTCTCAGGAAAAATCTGGATAAAGTCATCTATCAGTCTATGTGATATAAGCAAGTTAGGCCTCCCCGCCTTTTAAGCGTTCATTTGCAGAATCTTGTCAAGAAACTCCTGCCACTTGCACAAAATTGGCTGCATCTGAAGGAATGCAACCAGCTTGCCAGCTAAAATAATATTTATAAACTAAGGAAGAGAAAAACACCCTTTAATATGTTTTGTTGGAAGCATATCATTGTGGTTTATAGAACACTCTAGAAGATGTGAAAGAAGATGGGACGGGGACATCAGGAGGTTGTAAGGCACGGGCCACTGTGTGGGTGAGGGGGGCTATTAGGAAATCTAAATGTGGGCCTAGGAAGAGAAACTGACTCTTCCTCTGCACAGGGGTGGCTCTTCTCCCTGCTCAGGGGCTGCTCTGGCTTAGGGTCCCTTAACTCTGGCACCTCTCTCTGTTTCATGATTTTAGACCCTTTTCTCATGTGGTACCAAAGAGGTACAGAAGCTGTGACTCAGGGTTTCCCGGCCCACTCACTTTCTCCAAGGGGAGCCCCCTTTGTGTGATAAAATACAGGTATCAAATGACAGACATGCAGCTACAACAGACAACTACTGATCCAGTTGCATCAGAGGAACTGGACAAAAGCAAAACAAAATTGATTTCTTTTCCCACCCGCCCCCTACTTCCCAACAACAAAACATCTTTTGTTATTTTCCATGTCATAAGAGGCACAAACAGGTAACAGGAAGGCGTCACGAAGTGTCCCCCACTGAGCGCTCTTTGGCCTCCACGAGTGATCTCTCTCCGCTCAGGTGATGACAGTGGGTCCCCTCCGGCCAGTTCTCTCGTGAATCTGGGATATTTTCAGCGCAATGGCTATGAGAGGGCTCAGCACTGCCTGGAAAAACAGGAAGAACGTCTGTGAACAATTTGAGCAGCTGCAGAGTGGAGCCTTGCAACGGGTTCTGCTGGGGATGCTGGGACTCATGTACTATGTTGCCACCGACCCGCAACTGTTCTCTCTGTTGGAGAGGCAACACTTGCAAGTTGCCAAACAGAGAGCTTGGAAAGGGCAGGGCAGGGGAGGTAGGGCTGCAGCTCATGCAGAAGATGATTTCCAAAGTTAGATCCAAATTTACCTAAGACAGAAATTCATGAGTCAGCTACTAGAACCTGAAAAAACAAGATTGTGAATTAAGGAAGCTAAATTTCCAAGTGTGTGCTCTAGTCTCCACCCGAGGTAACCTGAGGGTGAAAGCTCATTCTTCGTCCTAAGGCCACGGGTCCGAAGAATCTATCATCCTGATGCTTCGGAGATGACAGATGCACCAACCCATCGCCAAAGGCTGCATAAGTGATCATTTCTTTCCCCCTTGTACAGCTGTAGCCCATGAGGCAGCTCAGGGCTTCCGGGAGGTTTAGACTCTTGCAAAGGTGAGTGACAGGAAGCGGGGCGAAAACAATATCTTGCCCTTTAGTTTCTTGCATCATAGGAGCGAGCCATTGCTTTCCCTCATGGGAAGCAACCCCTTTCCCAGTGATCGCAGAAGGTGCCTGGATGGAGCTTTGAAAACAATAGGAAAGTCAATCTATTTTCCCTCCTTCAACCCATCTGAGTCCATTAAGGAGAAGCTCCACTTGCTGCTGGTCCTGAGCACTTTAATCAAGACAGCACAAGTATCAAGCAACACTCACCCGACTATAAGGTATTAAGGCTGTCAATTTTCATTGAACTCATTTTTACAGTGTGCTTACATGTAGCAAGTTGTATCTTTTCCAGGTGGGGTGCTGGTGCAAACCTTCTTTAGTAAATGTTCTACATGAAAGCAAAGTAAGTCCATTAATATTAAAATATTGATAGAAAAGACGGTTGGGTCATAGTGGGGTAAGAGAAAAAAGGAATGCGTAATTCAGGAAAATAAAATCTATACTGCAGGGGTGGTGCAGATGCTGTTTTTTTTTGTAGTTAACCTAATTCTTAAACAGACACAAGCATGAAGGGTCCCATGACAAGAACATAAGCAAATGCCTTTAGCACAAGCAGCCCAGGTACCCTGAGTAGAGGACAGACACAGAAGAAAGGTGAAAGCTAAGCAAGACAACTTTCTTGGAGGGACCTTGATGCCCGGCCAAGTCCAAGGATTTCACTCCTCAGGCAAGGACACATGTTCGAGTGCTTTGAGCTCAAAGGGAGCATGATTGGGCCTGCACTTTGGAAACTGATTTGTAAATAAGTCTGGTAATTTATATTCGTCAGTATTTTGCAAAACTAACTTTTATAGGATAAAAATGAACCTAGACATGATGATGCAGGCCTATAATCCCAGCACTCTGGGAGGCTGAACCAGGAGGATCCCAAGTTTGAGACACTGCATCAACATTAAAAATAAAAAAGGACTGGATGTAGATCAACATGAAGGCCCTGGGTTTAATCTCCAGGGCCGCCACTACTACTATATTAATATTTACATCTGCCTACAACCAACTCTGGGTAGTGGACATGGAGCTGCAGAATTTAATATTGCCTTATTGCTTTTTGGTGTTGCTTTGGCAAGACTTCTTTGTCTCTACCAGTTCATCCCTTTTGGAGGAGCACCATACCTTGGAAGTACTTAACTTTGAATTTTACTGGGGCCCACAGTTTAGTTTGCTTGGAGTCTCAGAGAAAACTCTGGAGTTGGATTTTCCAGCAATGCTGAAAGTGTTAAGGCTTCAGTGACTCTTAAGAGGTGAACTAAATACATTTTAGATAATGAGATAGGCACGAGCTTTGTGGGGAGCTGGGGTGGAAGATCATGGTGTAGATCTAGGATGCCTTCCAAAAGTCTCAAGTATTCAGAGGTGGGAATTTTAGGAGAAAATTGGATTGCAATGTGATATACCCATCACTAGTTCAACACATTGATTAGTTTATAGCTATATGTGCTGTTAGAAGATGAGGCCTTACTGGAAGAGGTGTGTCACTGAGGCTGTGTCCTTGGAGTCTCTCTGCCTGTCTCTCTCTCCCGCTCTCTCTCTTTGTATCTCTGTCTCTCTGTGTGTGTGTTTCTGTCTCTGTCTGTCAGTCTGTCTGTCAGTCAGTCAGTCTGTCTCTGTCTCTCCTGTTCTCTCCTCTCTCTCTCCCCACTTCTCTCTCCTCTCTCTTCTCTCCTCTCTCCTTCTTGGTTTCCAGAAAGTGAGCATCTCTCTTACACCTCACCCTTCCACCACAATGTCTCTGGCTCCAAGGTAGAGACATGTACTTTGCTCATGGACTAAGTCCCCTGAAACGTGAGCCAAATCATGAACTTTGCACTCTCCTTTAAGTTATGGGTGCTGGGTATCGTGTCCCAGTGACAAAATTTCTGCCTAATGTATAGGGTTTGGCACATGCTTGGTTTCATGTTGACGGAAATACCAGCCTGAAGAAGGTATTGAATTATGTCTGTATTTAAAATTTCAATATATGGTCCATATGGACTTTTGGTATTGATTTTGATTTCTCAAAATTTTATTTGTAACTTTTATCTAATTACTGAATAATTTCTCAACTCTCCCCCTTAAATTTTCTACCTACTTATACATTACCAAAATATAGCCCTATATTAGGATTTTATTTGTTTACATTTCCTCAAAAGGCAAAGAAGATGGCTCCACATGTTTCCCCTCATTTATCTTTGGCTTTATGTCTTTGCTACTTTAATCTACACTAATGTAAATTAGATAAAAAATAATATAAGAAACTGAAATTCTTACTTTGACAGCAGTAGACAGGCGACGTGTAAATGACCTGAATGCTACAAAAATCAAAGTAAATAGCTGAAGTTTTGGAGAAAAGCAAAATTCTAACTAGAAATATAATCAGTTTTTTTTTTTTTTTTGGAACCAGGAATTGAACTCAGGCCCTTGCACTTGCCAGGGAAGTGCTTATTCCACTGAGCCATCTCCCCGGCCCCTAGAAATATAATCAGTTATTAAACAAAACTTGTCACAGTTGTGATGAGAACTCAGCATGAGGCAGTTCTCTACCAGAAATGTTCATTTAGAGCATCAAGGAAATATCTAGGTGGGGACGAGGGCCTGGAAAATGATCACAAAGAGTACAGAATGGCGGGCAGGATGAGAGGACTGAGCAGGGTGCATATTTGGCAGGCAGTACAACTGAGAGCACGCCAACCATCCAGCATCAGGAGCCCTGACATCCTGGCATCCATAAGACAGAGCAACAAATGCCACTCCCACCTAGCTGAGTGACCTTAGTGCTTCGGTTCACACCTACTAAACTTGGAGTGCCCAGCATTTGTTCTCCCATCATTTCAGGCAAACATTTATTTTTATTCAATGTGCTATTTGCTAATCATTAGGCAGCAGCTTGCAAAGTTAATAACACACCAGAATTTCTACAGGGTCTCTTAAAATGCAGATTTCTGCCCCTCCCCCACCCCACCCCATGATTTTTGAGATCCAGGATAGGGCCCCAAAATGAATTTTAGCAATTTCCAGGCAATCTTTTTTTTTCTTTTTTTTTTTGGCGGTACTGGGGATTGAAGTCAGGACCTTAAGCTTGCCAGGCAAGTGCTTATTCTACTGAGCTATCTCCCCGGCCCCTTCCAGGCAATCTTCATGTTGCTGGTTGAGAGTCATTATTCTTACCTTTTTAAAAAAATTTTATGTATTTGGTATGGGGTCTTACAACACAGATTGGACTCATAATGATCCTCCCTTTTACAGCCTCCCCAGTGCTGGGATTACAGCGCCACCATGCCCTGCCCAGACTCAATCAATGGCTCAGCATGCCCAGAGATGGGGCCAGTGCAGCATGTAGTACCAGGGATTGAACACTAGTCCTTGCACTTGCCAAAGCAGGCGCTTAGTCCACTGAGCTATCTCGCTGTCCCTGAGAGTCATTATTCTAAGGCACAATAGTGACTGTGCCCTTCATATGCATTGATCCTACTAACATCTAGTTTGTATCACATGGTCCCACCTCTTGGCCATAGGTGACTAGACCAGGACTCTGTGACTCATATAAGCAGCCTACAGCCAAAACCTGAACTAGTGGATGGATCCTTCCTCTCAGGGATTTGATCTGGTAAGTAACAAGAGAACAGGATTTTGGCAGTGGGAACTAAAGCATAAGGATATAATTAATGAACTTTTGGGCATAAGGCTCCTTGGTAATCCAGTATGGGAAAGCAGAGACTAAGATGATGATGAAAATTATAAGAAAAGAGAATGAAATTAAGAGAAGTAAACAAAACAGAGAGAAATGATAAAAGAGTTAATAGAGGGGCTGGGGAGATAGTTTGGTGGTCTAAGAGCCTTCCTGGTAAGCACAAAGACCCAGGTTTGATCCCTGGTATCACACATGCCACCTTGCTGGCCACTGAAACCAGGCATGGTGGCACATGCCTATAATCCCAACACTGGGGAGGCTGAGACAGGAGGATCACTAGGAGTCCAAGCTGCATAGCAAGATGCTGTACAAAATAAATAAATAAATACAATTTTTATAAAACAAAATTCTATGACAGTTAATAGAAAAGAATATTACAAATCTCAATAATCTCTAAAGATTCATTAATTTCTCCCAAGGAGGTCTTTGTTGATAAGGGCACTCCAGGTCTAGTGACTGTGATTCTGTTGACTGGGCTCAGGGTGGGTCCCACTCTGGGATTTTTTGAGAAAACTGATTTATTTTTGAACTAAAATAAATCATCATCATCATTATTATTATTAGCATTTAGTACAAGGTCTCACTACACAGATCAGACTCATAGTGATTGGCCTTTCTGTTTTCAGCCTCCCAAGAACTGGGATTACAGGCGTGTGCCACCATGCCCATTCTCAATCACCGTCTCAGCGCATCCCGGGAGCAGGGCCAGCAGGGCACACCAGGGACTGAACCCCTGTCCCTGT